AACTCACCAAGCCAATACGCTGAACAGCCAGGATTCAAGTTTAAGCAGTCAAGCTCCAGAGCATCAACTCTCAACCATAACACTAAACAAAAGTCTCAGAAACCAAAATCAGTAAGTTACCTTTCAGTACCTTACCTCTTGTGGTTGTATCTCTGGCTGTGCAAGTTCCATAAGAGACCCTGGAAAGACAAAAGGCATACTGAATAAATACTAGGCGAACTATAAGTTTTCAGACAGATTACAACTATAATTCATTCTGGCAACATATTTTCAGAAGCTAGTAGTTCTCCTCATACAAGACACTTTTATAAAGTAAAGTTGCAGTTAAAAATTGATCTCTGATAGAAAATAAGACTATCTCTTCTTACCCACAAACACAGTTTCTTTCAAGTTGGAATTATAGCTCCAATCCCATGGGGTAAGAATTAGTCATCTCAGCTTGAAATACGGCCCTTAAAGGCCTCCTACACACCAGTTTAAGGTTGGGAGGAGGGTAAGAAAGTGAAGATACTGGACTTAGTATTAAAAACTATGAGGAAATGAACAAGAGAAATGACTTGAATCTTGCTAGTGGCTACAAGAACCCTGTCTGGACTACCCCCTTATTTATTTCTTAAATAAATCCAGCCTCAACAAACAAAAGCAAAAGTGCCATTTACTCACAGTATTTATTCCCCAATATTTACTGGAAATATTTATTTTGGCACTTTTTTCCTGAATAAATTATTCTATTATTTTAAATTATATTATTCTTTAACATGCTAACCTTAAGTTATTCTTGTTCTACTACAGTACTGGATTCTACTATAACTTACATGTGAACAACAATTTTAAATGGAATTATCCTAACCGTTTAACAAAGAGATTCATTCAAACTCCATAAATGCCTCATTTTTACAGTACTCTTACATCAAAGTATAACCTAATGTTTCTATTAAGGTTCACCTTTAATAGAAGGTGAACCTTGGTAATAAAGCCTAGAGGAGTTTTCTAAACCTAGGCTTAACCTGCAGCAAGTAAAGATTTCCATGCATGTAGGAACTAACAAATTTAAATAAGGCAATCATTTTTTCACAGTGATTTGACGTATTTGGGGTAAGTGTTAAAAATGCAACCACTATAAAGAATTTCAGAGATCACAACAAACCTGACTCTTTGACAGATTCAGTCTTCAATAATTGTTTCTTCTTCTCTGATTTTATTAGCATTTCTTCTTCCAATGATAAATCTTTTTCCTTAGCATTTTTTGGAACAGGGATACTTTCAAAATAGCCTGAGTTCAGCAATTTAGACAATAGGTCTTTCATATGCTTGTCTAAGAAAGAGTGATTAAGATTTAGTTATCACATATCCTAACAGTTCATGGAAAATTATTTGGCACAGAAATCCTAATATAATTTTATTCTAATTATAGTATGTCATTATAACATTCTACATTATAGAGGATTCAAAGAACTGGTTAATACCATGAAAAGTAAATATGCAGCCCATGTTTATGTCATGCTGAATCAATATAAATTTTAAAGATTAGAATTCCAAAGTTAAGCAAATCTCTTAAGTTTCTCTGGGCCTCCATTCGAAAAATAACTAAAAAATCAGAGACCCTAATCAAAGACTCTAATATGTTACAAAAGCACACATTATTCCCTAAGCTGAAAGTAATTTCTCCCATCTGCTCCCAAGACATCACTACTAGCAACTACTTTATCTTCCCCAAGTAATTAAAACCTTAGAGAAGTAAAAGTTCCCCAAACATAAAGATTGGAAAACTCTACCCTGGACAAACTCTAAAGGATGTTTAAACTACAAAACTCCATGATTAAGACTTTACTCTTGAGTTATTCTTTATGTTACTCCTAGCACATCATCCTTTGATGATCAAGAAAAATCTTAAAATGATGTTAAAGTCACTGTAACATAAATAGGTCTAAAGTCTATTTCATTTTAATATCCACTAAAATGTTAATTCCCAAATAAAGCAGAGTTCTCATACTTAATTTAGATCTATTATTCCTTTCATAGGAGTACCATGACATAGATTTTGTCTTTTTTTAAGAAAGTCAGTTTTGGGGTATAATTTACAAACAATAAAATTCACCCTTTTTAAGTGTACAGTATAGCTGTGTAACTTCTGGTGTTGCTTCCACCAGAACAATGATACAGAACATTTTCATCAACTCAAAAAGTTCTCTCATGCCCCTTTCGTAATCAATCCCCTCCCCTCGCAGCAACCACTGACCTGTTATCACTCTAGTTATGTCTTTTCTAGAATTTCATATAATTGGAATTATACTATATGTACTCATTTTGTCTGGCTTCTTTCACTCATCATAATCATTTTGAGATTAATCCATGTTGTTGTATGTACGCATACTTCATTTCTTTTTTTTATTGCTCAGTAGATTCCACTGTATGGATATACCACATCTGGGCTGTGTTCCATTTGGGGATATTATGAATAAAGCTGGTATGAACATTCATGTACAAATACTTATGCAAACATATGTTTTCAATTCTCTTGGATACTAGAAGTATAATTGCTTGGTCATATAGTAAGTGTACATTTAATTTTATAAGAAACTGCCAAATTATTTTCCAAAATATTTGTATTATTTTGCATTCTAATCAAGAAATAAATTTCTGTGATTTAAACTTGAAAGGACTTAGAAATTTTGAGATAGTTATACATACGTAGATTTTTTTTTAAAAAAAGTAGTAATCATTATTAACAAAAATGTTTCCTAGCTTCGAGTTTCATTATCCTAAACTGGTACGCAAAACTATGTACTTTCATATCTGGCCATTTCTACTTGGTCCTTTGGCCAAAGTCTATTTAGGAAGCCAAAAGAACTTTCTCTCCAGCTCATTTACAGATCAATAGACAACAATGCTTCAACAGAATATGAAGCCAAACCACTTACATTTCTTAGGCAGATCTTGTAGCTAAGCCTTCATATTAGCAATATGTGTATTTAAGAGTCTTAAATGGAACAGGTACTAATATTTGGAATAGAGAACTGAACACTTAAATGGTCAAGCTAGTGTTGAAGCTTAGCACTAGTCCTTAGCACTTGTTCCTAAATCATAGTGCCCTTCAGCTTCAAAACTCTCCCTAGGTTCCATTTTAATGAGTGCAATTATACAACAGAACTAAAGAAAGAAAGAGATCATTCTCCCGAAGAGTACAGTACTGTCAGGCATATCAGTTCTGATGGACTGACACAGTTTTGGCCTTCGATATCATTCTAAACTTCTAGACATAAAGTTTAGTATTTACTGCACAAGCCCAGAGTAGAAAAACTCACATGTTGTTCCTACCACTGCTTTGTCACTACCTTCCAAAAGGTCCCAAAAGTACAAGGATGACTGCTCCATCTGGTCTTCAACACTGACAAGGAAAAGCAGCAGCAGAACAAAGTGGCTTTAGAGGTACATATAATATATATACACGGAGCAGTACAATTTATACACTATAACCCATCAACAGTCAAGACATTCAACGTTAATTTTGTTTTTTTATGCTTTGGAAATGAAAACCTGAAATTTTATAAAAAAATTAACTGTCCACGTATGGATTTCAATTGTAAGCATTTTCCCTTAAAACAACAAATATAAAGATTTTACCATAAATGGCTATTAAGGAATAGTCCAAAAAGAGTTTAAAGCTGTCATGCAGTATTATTCACTATCAGGTATATGTCCTAGGTGAAAGACAGTGGAACAAAAACATTAAGTGCTGCATTGGACTTTAAAGAGAGCAGCTTATTATTCTAATTATGTTTCACTTACATTTCGCATATTAAAATAATATCAGCTATATTCCATGAATCTACCAAAGTGAAGTAGAGAAGACACCAAATAGGTAATGATGGATTAGACTATCAGAATGATAATTAAAAACATAGATATTAAGAGTTTTATTAGGTTTCTTCCTGATACAAGGTTGATTTCTAACAGTTAAAATCTAACTGCTTTAGCATGGTTAACAGACACGACGTTGGAACAACCTATATTTAACAAAGCAAAAGCTTAGAGATCTGCTCATTAGCTGATTTATTCTATCAAAGCAAAAACAGCAAATGGATAATCAGGGGAAAAACTAAATAGCCTTGATTTGCTAGTTTTGTATTTTATATTAACAGATCTTTTTCTCAGTATTTAGTCGCAGCACAAGAAGAGCACCAAATAATTTGCACTTTGAAATTTTAATGAAATGGGCCAAGTCCAACTTTATGTACCTCCTCTTAAGTACAGCAGTAATAAGAAAGCAAAGACTCTCAGGTAATACCACAGCCTGAGATAATTACAAAAAAAAATTTAAGAATCACATAATCAGTATTATGGTTAATACTTGTACAACTAGGTTAAAACTTGATGATCAAGACACTATTTTTTAAATCGGTGTTACAGTAAAGAAGTATGTTAATGAGGTCCTCAAATTCACTTTCCTCCTAGATAGTCTAGCAATCCTGTCAGAGTCTAGGCTGGCCAACGTCTCCCATGTTGAATCAAATTAATGTTTTCTTAATTACTAAATAAATATATATAACTAAAAGAGCTAGACTAAAGTGTTATGTGTTCTATTTCAGGAAAACATTTTCATTAGCTTACCTCAGACTTTCATTTCTTTCAGGGCAGGTCAGTTTTGAAAATTTAATGAGGTAGTCAAGTTCTTTTAAAGGCAAAAACACTGCACCATTCAAGCCTTCTTTCAAGTCTTTCTGCACATGTTCTTGTGTCAAGTTCTGTAATACATACTGAACTTGAAGTATAGTGCGAAGCTTTTTCTTCTCAGCCTCAAGTTTTAGCATGTGCTCCCTTCTCTGCGCCTTCTTCTGAGCTTTAAGTAGCTGTTAAAACAAACGGTAATTCAGGTTGACAACTCCCCACCACCCCATACTAGAAATTCCAAGAGTTGAGGGTAGATGATGAATCCCATATATATGTATAACACTGAATGTAAAACTGACAAATCCATTTAATCCTGTTTCCTTTTTCAGCTAAAGAAGTCACTGAGTAACAAACTGGTTTGTCTTGGGTAACCAGAGCCAAAGGAGTCCAAATATCTGACTCCCAACTCCAGGCTGTATCTAATACGTCTAATATCACCATGATGAGAAGAAGCAAAGTACCCATCACTGATATGCATATTAATCCCAAGGTATTACTTCTCCAACATATGTATATTGAGCCTTTTTAGAACATCTATTTTATGGAAAATGCTTCAGTATAGTTTTGGGGGTTCTTTAAATCTCATGATCCAGAGCAAGAATAAACTAAAATGGTCAGTTTTCAACAAACTAAAGAAGACTAGCTAAAGCATAAAGAATTGAACACCTAACAGAAATAAAATGTCTTACAAATGTAATGCCAAGAAACAACCACAGCAAACAGGTTTGTTTCAAAAGTAAAATTAAGAGATATTTTCATAATTGTATTTCAGTCTGGACTGAACTGTATCTTCCAATGTATAGCTGAGAAAACACATGGAAAAGTAGTGGAACATAAATTTTTCCTCAAATAAACATATGTGTGTGCATCCTGAGCAGCCCTGAGTCTACTCTAAAGCTCAGAACTACAATACATTAAAAGTCTAACATAATAATACATCGTCCCAGAAGGGGCTTCCCATCGAAAAATAATAAGTACTATCTATTTTGGCTAAGAAACCTAAAAGGTCTTTTCTTCCCATAGTTGTTTTTCTGATTGTAATATTTCCATCATATTGGATATTTCCCAAGGTATGAAGATAAAGAGAAAAAAATCTAAAAGAAGATTTTTCCTATAGATGGGTTAAAATACTTTGATATAGCATCAGTATTTAAAATTCTACAAAAGAAATGTGTATGCTCATAAATCCTAATAAAGATTGGGAGGTGAAAAAACTCAGGAAAAAGATCTATTACAGCATTATTAACTCCCCTCTAGGGGGTATGAAAGCAACTTCATAAATTTTACTTGTGGTCCTACCAGCAATGAGACAATGACTTAAGATAAAATTTTGAGAACAAGAAATGGACTGGTGGGGGTGGTTCTATAAGCAAGGATATTTTCTTCAGGATGGCAATGGCTCAGAAAAGCTTTTCTGAGACCTCAGTATAGACTTACAACAATGAACACTTATCAAAACTATAGGATTCTGTTTCTGCTTGAGAAGAGGAAAGAGTATAGAGGTGGCACTTCTAGCTATCCAAGACAATGGGATTCTCTTGGACACAGTTTTATGTTATATGGAAAGGCAATTGATGCTGAGGGCATCTTCAAGATTGTATCACATGATTACCACAGATCTCTCTCTAGCCACCTCCCAAGGTTGGATTAGGTGTTCTTATGGGCTCATGCCACCCTGAACTTCTACTGTCAAAGTATCTATTACAATAAATGATTTTCTTTTTATTTATCTGCACCTCCCCCTTAGACCTCAACTCCATGATGACAGGGGCTATATCTCTGTTGTTCACTAATATATCATTAGTGTCCAGCACAGAGCCTGACACATGACAGGACCTCAAATGTTTGCTGAATCAATAAAATGTCAAGTTAGAAAACATGTTGTCTCTTAGATCATAACCAGACGTTATGAAAACCATTGACAACCATTTATCCTTATTTATGTGGAAACTAAGAAGTCATGTTACATTTGCTTTTCTTCTTCAAGTTGAGGACTGTTTTGGAAAGAAGGAGAAGATATGATGTATAAACCACTATCAACCAATAGTATTGAATAATAAAATTTATTTTCTGAACCATGACATAGAATGATAAATCTCCACCAAGGAAAGAGGTCATATTATGAAGACAAAGAGAGGTGTGGCTGGGCTGAACAGGAAGGTTACCAAATTCAGTTTAAAAAGAAGAAAATGTTTTATAACCTGCAAAACTGGCTATCATAGAAGAGGTTTGACAAAAGAAGGGCTTTTGGGGTCTTGATTCATTAAGGCACACTCCAAAGTACTTTAGCACCTCACCTAAAGTAAAAGGAAATCTACAGTACAAGTAAGGAGAAATAATCTTACAGACAATAACACAATTTGGTGGGTTAAGAGCTACCTCTAGATGATAGAAGTGGAAGGACAAGTAGATAGACAGCACGTCTATGGTATAAAGTAAACAAGACAGTTTTTAAGAGTGGAAAGTAGTCAGGGTCCTACCTTCACTCTACCACTTACTGGCTACATGACTTTGAAGAAGTTCTTTTTGCTCTGAGCCTCAGATTCTTTATCTGAAAAATGGGGCTATTTATACCCACTTCCTAGATTGCTATAAAAATCAAATGGACTTTCATAGGTGCCAGGCACATGGAAAGTATTTTTTTTTAAGATTTATTTCTAAAATGAAGAAAAAAATCATATATTGAAAAAATAAACATCTGAATGGAAAACTAAAATTCGATAGGGTAACTCTGAGTGAAAATTATTTAAGTATTATAAAAGTATAATTCCAACCACCCGAACAGAAGGAATATATGAAAGATCTTTTTATAGTAAAATGGACCAAAACTTAACACATTGTGGGGTGGAGAATCAATCGTACAAGAAAAAAAGAATGACTTAAAAATATTATCTCTAAAATAGCCTAGAAATATTTAATAACAGGAATTAACAGAAAGTACTAAAATTCAGTGATAAGTGAACATGAGTTAAAATATGCTATGGCTGACCAAAAAGAGCCAATATCATCTCAGATTTGCATTAACAAAAAGTATCCAGAAAACAGAAAGTGGTGGCTCCATACCAGACTATCTTAGATTTATGCCCTACCTTTAAGAGTTAATTAAGGCAGACATCCACAAGAGAGCAACTCAGGACTGAATTACAAGGATCAACATAGTGGATATCTTCAGCCTAGAAATGATGCTTTGGCTTTTTTTTTTTTTTTGGCGAGGGGTCGGGGTGCGATACAGGACAAGGGTGATGCTAGAGAAATGGATAATTTCGCACAAGAAAAAAATATCCAAAAAATAGAAGGAACTGTTATATGAGACATGCTCCCTCCCCCAGAAATGAATTTATTAAAAAATTCCCTCAATTTTTAGAACATGATTGTTAAAGGACCTTCTAAGATTCTAAAACAGGGAAGAATACTTCATTAATGAATGCTTAAGACTTCATATTAATTACTAAGTGTCAGATAAAAGTTTGAATTGCCAGCATGGAAAACCTAACAAGCAGTGTGACCAGACTAACTCCAACTTGAATCATAAATTTTCCTGGTAATAACTAGCATGGCCTCAAAAAGAGTCTATCAATTGTGTTTCCTAGTATGTTAAATAATGCTAAACTTACAAGCCTATAGCATATAAATTTATAGGCCTATATTTTAAAATATCTTGAATAAATATATCGGTAAAAATAGTTTTTATTCCCTTCTCAGTGATTTCTATAATTCCATAGTGAAATAATACACATAGATAACTAATACTTTATTCACAATGTCTCATATTCAGATACTATTTGTGTTTTCTTGAGGCTCCAGAAATCTGAAAACGCTAGTTCTGGAGTAGCTATCCTCAATAAAATATTTGCAGGATTTAGATAGGTAATAATCAAACACCGTTATTAGACACTGATATTTTCTTAAAGAACAGTGGTTAAACTCATTTCAGGAAAAGCTAAGAAAACATACTCACATCTTGGCTTAGTCCCGAAAATGTTTTCTGAAGCTCCTTGGCAAATTCTAAGTTATGTAGCACTTCTTCATATTTCTCTACTGCTTCCTACCAAATAGGATAAGAAAACATAGCTTCTGTAAACTTCCAAGTACAAATATGTCAAAATAAGTTTCCCTCAAAAACAGAGGAGATTTAAGACTTCATTCTAAGAGCAGAGAGGCCTGTGGGTTTTAAGAGCCCTGAGCAAATAGGATTTCTGTCAATATTCGTTTACTACTCACATATATTACACAAGTAGTGAAATGAGAATTACACAGATGAATAAGCAACTTCAATTTATTTATACCTAGTAGAAAAGACTTATAAACAATTACCTATAACGGACAAGATTAAGTAAGATTATAACATAAATATTGTATATTTAAAGGGGCAATTTTTTTTTAAGATTTCACGGGAAACAAAGTTAATTAGAGAAGTGGGTTTTTTATGGGACCTAAACTAACGCAAATCTATATGGAAGAACAAAGGGCAAATACGAAACAGAACAAGGTGGAGAATGTGTTTAACCAGATAGACATATTACAAAACCTCCATAATTAAAACAGTATAATATTCCATTTCTAGATATATATCCAAAAGAAATGAAAATATTATGTCCACGTGTGCAAATTTATATAGCAGTATTATTCATTACAGCCCAAAATAAAAACAATCTAAATATCCAGCAACTAATGGATAAAAAAATGTATAATTAAAGAAATACTAGTCAGCCATAAAAAGAAATGACTTACTGATACTTGCTATAACACAGATGACCTCAAAAACATAATGCTAAGTCAAATAAGCCAGATGCAAAGACTTTATTTTATATAAAATATCCAGAAAAGACAAGGTTATAGAGATAGAAAGCAAATAAGAGCACAAAAGGGAACTTGGAGGGGTTCTAAAACTGGATTGTCGCGATAGTTGCATAACTCCACTAATTCACTGCAACTCATTGAATTCTACACTTACGATGAGTTAATTTTCAGATATGTATATAATATCTGTTTTAAAAAATAGTCTGATAATACTATGTCTTTACAAATGTACAGAGCAATAGGAACCCCTACGTACTAACAGTATTAGTCTAAATTGATCCAATAATTTTGAAAAACAGTTTGACATTTTTACCTATAAAGTTCACTATGATACATATATATCCTGAAAAAATCTTGCACCTGTGTCTCAATAACACATATCAAAGTGCTCAAAGTAAATTACCAAAAAATAATAGCAAGCAACTCAAACATCCACCTACTGACAGGCTACTCCTGAGTAGAGAAAAGCAAATGAAATATAGCTACTTGCATCAATATAAAAATCCTAAGCATGAGTGAAAAAGGCAAACTGCAGAATATATAGTATGATAGATAACATTTATTATAAGGTACAAAAAGGCAACTCTAACAGATTTAGGGGCAACAAACAAGTGCAATTAAAATAAAAGCAAGGAAACGACAGGCGGGGGATGGGGGGCTCAGGATCAGGTTACAGGAGAGAAAAAGTATGGGAGGGAGCTTCAGTGGTGTTGGTAACTACCAGTTGTGTAGAGTAATAGGTTCTGATGCTTGCTTTATTATACACTGTAACTTATACGCAACATTTTTTTTGGAACATATATTTCATGATAAAAAGGTAGAGAGGCCTTCCAACTACAGAAGCAAGAATGCACAAGTGCCATAACCATAGTACAGTAAGTCCTCACTCAACATCTAAAAGTTCTTGGAAACTGCAACTTTAAGTGAAACAACATATAATAAAACCAATTTTACCATAGGCTAATTGATAAACAAGAGTTAAGTTCCTACAGCATATTTCTGATCACAAAAACATCACCAAACTTCTAAATAAAGACCCCAAACACTTCTAATATTAAACATTGAAAT